AATAACAATTTTCAAAAAAATGAAATGACCGATATGTCCCTAAAGTCAAGCTTTAGATCATTTCATTCCAATGTCAACAGAGTAGAGTAGTTATACTGTGCATGTCAAAAGGAAATATTGAAAAAGACCTTGGATCAAAGTTAATTTTTTTGCTTTTAAAGATAACAAAGTAATTTAAATGTGTAAAAAATTATGAAAAGACCAAGACACCCCAAACAAATTTAAAATAACAAATGAATATAGGGAAAAGATTATTTTACACCTGAAAGACAACATTGTGTGATTTTGTGTGAAGGGCAAAGTCATCAATTTACTATTATAATCAACAATAATTAAAGGTGTAACTATAATGGTTTTTCCACGTGGCTTAGGTTCTGTTAATTAAAGTAATTGTCCCATGTTTCACTGCTACTTGTACCAAAACAACCAAAAAAACATTTAACCGTAAATTAAATTGTACATATGTTACTAATTTATTTAATATTTGAAAGTAATGTTTTAATTGTTAACTCAAAATTTAATGCATATAAAATAAATATTTGTTTTTCAAATACTAGGACTATCACATATTCAAACTAACTTAATTTAACTTCAGCGACTTAAGTTTTAGACTTAATAATATATTTTTTTAAATGATTTTTGGTTAATTATATAGAAATAAATATACACTATTATAAAGAAACCAGATAGAATTGAACTTGATCTGTTAATTGTGTGATGTTTAGAAGAAAAAATGACTAGTATTAAACTTTTCTTGTCTAATAAAATTTTGAAATAATAATAATAAATCATATTCGAAATATTCTTATAATATTTGATTGAAAAACTCCTGAGTGAATGTCCAATTAGTTTGTTGCAGTAACATTAGTAAGTAATTCACTGTAGTTAATTGATCACTAGTTTTTTCACCTGCACCATGATACGGGTTAAGCATATTTTTTCTAACTTCAAAAAATATTAAAAATAAATTAAGATGATAATATATTAGATAATAATTTTTAAAAATAAATATTGAGCAATTAATTTAATTTAATTTAATTTAAAAAATTTATATTAAAAAAAGCTAAATCTAAGATAGAATGAAATATAAAGGCCCAAAATCCTTTTAAAAATAGTGAAAATCCTATATAAAGAAAACAAATTACTAAGTTCAATATCTAATTAAATCAAATATTAAATGATAAAATTAAATAAATAAATTTAAAAAAAATAAACTCAAACAAATTTTCTAAACTTGGGTTAATCTTTCAAATTCATAATTCGTTAAATCCTAAACTTGAAGTCATTTAGAAAGTTTAATTTAATGTTAAAAAATAAAATAAAAAAATTAATTTTAAAAATTTATCAAGGTTAAAACAAATAGTTAAAAGGATGAAGATAAAATATAATATGTAAATATAATAAAAAAGGATGAAAATGTAAAAAAAAATCAATTCTAAAAACTATTTTAAATAAAATAAATAGTAATTAAAAGAATGATCACCAAATATGAAATGAAAAAAATTGATGGAGGATGAAATTAAAAAGTAAATTCAATTTTTTAAACTAATTCAAATTTTTTAAAAAAAACAAATCCTTTAGAGAAAAATTAAAAAAGTTGTTGTGAAATGTTTCAAGGGTAAGCATGAAACTAAAGAAAAAAGAAAAAGAAAAAAAATTATAGTCAATAATGGCCAAACAGCTAGGAAGAATACATTAAAGTTGATTTTTTTCTGCCATGAACCTCCATAATCATTGACTAAAGACTGCGAGGTGACTCACTTGCTGGTGTATTTGTTCTTTTTTTTTCTTATTTGTTTATTAAGTAAACAATAAAATTGCCCCTAAAATTAAATAACAATTTTCAAAAAAATGAAATGACCGATATGTCCCTAAAGTCAAGCTTTAGATCATTTCATTCCAATGTCAACAGAGTAGAGTAGTTATACTGTGCATGTCAAAAGGAAATATTGAAAAAGACCTTGGATCAAAGTTAATTTTTTTGCTTTTAAAGATAACAAAGTAATTTAAATGTGTAAAAAATTATGAAAAGACCAAGACACCCCAAACAAATTTAAAATAACAAATGAATATAGGGAAAAGATTATTTTACACCTGAAAGACAACATTGTGTGATTTTGTGTGAAGGGCAAAGTCATCAATTTACTATTATAATCAACAATAATTAAAGGTGTAACTATAATGGTTTTTCCACGTGGCTTAGGTTCTGTTAATTAAAGTAATTGTCCCATGTTTCACTGCTACTTGTACCAAAACAACCAAAAAAACATTTAACCGTAAATTAAATTGTACATATGTTACTAATTTATTTAATATTTGAAAGTAATGTTTTAATTGTTAACTCAAAATTTAATGCATATAAAATAAATATTTGTTTTTCAAATACTAGGACTATCACATATTCAAACTAACTTAATTTAACTTAAGCGACTTAAGTTTTAGACTTAATAATATATTTTTTTAAATGATTTTTGGTTAATTATATAGAAATAAATATACACTATTATAAAGAAACCAGATAGAATTGAACTTGATCTGTTAATTGTGTGATGTTTAGAAGAAAAAATGACTAGTATTAAACTTTTCTTGTCTAATAAAATTTTTTAACATCAAATTTAATTATTTTTGTTATAAGAATTGTTACAACTAATAACTTCTCTCTCTTCTACTGTTATCCAGCGAAATTCCTTCTTTCTCGAACCAATTGACTAAAAATTAAATAAAATAAACTTTAAAATTGAAAAGAAAATTGTCTTGAATTGATGACGAGTCTTGTATTTTTTTTATGTTTTAAATTTGAGTCTTTTATTTTTTAATTTAGTATTTTTTTGGTAATTTGAAACTTAATTTCGTCTCGTTAGATTATTAAAGTATTTAAGTGAGAAAAATATGAAAAGAAAAAAAAGGCAAGGTACTTTATGATCTTCAACTCATTTGCCTTCCATTTTATCTTGATTGGTCATTAAATGCATACAATCATGTGAGTCGATTTGCTAACATGTATTGGGGTGTCTTCGATAACATATGTTATTGCCACGTATATAGAGTCCCGGGACAAACCTCATATGAGTCACTCTACTATATATAATTTCTATATTAGTCCCCTCAACTTCCAATTTTATCAATGAGGTCTCCTATCTCTATACTTTTTCTCAACCGGTCCCTTTCCTAAGAAAATTGGATGAATGTCATTTATGCAATGGACAATCTTTAGGTGTGGAAATACCTAACTTCTCCATTCACACATGAAAGAAGACATGTAAAATCAAAGTGTAGACTTGCCTTAGTCGCCTAGACTCTAGTTTTGCCAAATTTTTCTGCAATTGAAAGCAGTAGATTAGGGAAAAATCAGGCCCTAATTAGCACTAATGCTTTCTCCTAAATTTTATTTTATTTTATTGTAATTAGAGAATATCATTGATAAAAATATATGTAGATGGGAACCATTGCTAATGTATATATAATAACAAAATTATAAATGCTACTGTGTATTATATTAATATTAAGAGATGTATATATTTCATTGAATTTAAAAAAAGAATATTGATGTTCTATATATGTCTATGTGAGATACAAATTTGCATATCTTGAGTTTGGATTTCCAATCAAGTTTAAAAATATCTATACATTATCAATTATTCATTGAATTAGATAAATATTCAAAAAAATCACTTATTAGAATCAATATTTATCAAATTCAGATTAATTATATATTATGATTATTAGAATAAAATCCACATGAATAGTTGCTGAAGAGAGACATAGCTTAAGAAAACCAGGGGCTAAAAATAAAAAATTATAACATATACTAAAATGCCTAGGACACTTACTGTAGGTTTTTTCTATTCTTAATTTTTTTTAATTGTATCCTTATATATTTCAATTAATGACTAATTTATAAAAAAAAATTAGGACTAAAAAGAAAAATACAGAGAAAATTAATATATCTAATATTCGGAAGCAAAGTTCGTTTTAGTCTAAAGATTTTTTTTTCTTATTTTTAAGTCCTTTTATTAATTCCTAATTAACACATGTTTATTTAATAAAGAATAATATAATTTTATTTGTACCGTAGTTATGGGCGGTCTCTTTCTAACAAAAGATTTGCCATTAATTACTTTTTTATTATAGTATTAATTACTTTATTTTAATCTAATTATATTGATGTACTTGCTCTATATTTATTATCTTATTAGAGATACAAATTTAACACAAAATAACTTAGAGGGTGACCAAAAAATATTTTGAATTGTTTTCAATAATGTAATTTTAAAAAGGTTTTAAAATGTTTTTAATTGTTTTTAATAATTTAATTTTAGAGAGGTTTTAAAATATTTTTATAGGAATAAAAATTTATTATCAAACAATAATGAATAAAATTGAGGTTTGCCTTTTCCAATAATGTGGGAGAATTTCTTATGATGCTATATGCTAATTCTTTTTTAAATGAGGAAAATATATTTTACTTGTTTTTATTCTCTTACTTTTCATTATTAATTAAAAAATTAAGAATTAGAAAAAAAATTATTGTAGAGAATTTATTATTATTAGGATATCATAACCCTAATTATTGATTTGATAGATTAACTTAACTTAATTTAAATTAATTTAATACAACAATATTTTTTAAGATATTATTTTGATGGTATTTTAAATTATTTATTTATTTTATCATATATTTAATTTTTTTGTTGATGGTATTTTAAATTATTTATTTATTTATTTTATTTATCATATGTTTAATTTTTTTTTACTATTTATGATTTCTCTTTCTTTTTTTATTTTTTAAAATATAATTTTTTCAAGCTAAACCCTAGTTGAAGTTACCGTGCAACTTTATTTTTATTAAAATTTAACCATTTGTGTTGTTTTAAATTAATATTTTTTAATTTTTTAAATTACTTTAATGTATTAATATTAAAAATAAATTTTAAAAAATAAAATATTTTAATATATATCTCAATAAAAAAATACTAGAATGGCAAACTGTATTGTAAGCAACCGCACCACACCACACATCATTTCCCTGCTTTTCTTTCTTTCTATCCAACCAATTAATTAATCCATCATTTCTGTCTGTCACCTCCATTTTACCTTTCCCCTCTCTTGTCTCCACAACACATAGTGTTTCTTTCACTAAACTCAAAATACTGCGTCGTTCTTCACGCTTATGGCTTGATTTCTTCCAAGCAAGCAAGGAAGCAATGAAGGAAGGTTTGTTTGTTCCTATTTCAGTTGCATTGTCTCCTCCTCCATCCATCTTCATTTTCTTTGTTTCAAATTTCAAATTACTTTCTTCTTTTCTTGCCTCCTCCTTGTTTCTTAATTTTTAACTCTTTTATTTTGTTCATTATTCATAAATTTGTTTGCATTCTCTCTCTCTCTCTCTCTCTCTTAATTGTGTGTTTGTGCATTGATAAAAAAAAGCTTGAAGAAAACGACGGATTATCCGAGTTGAAAATGACCTTGAATAGGATAGATTAAATAAATAAATAATGCATAGAGTGTTCTTAACCGTTTCTATTTCATCTTATAATAATAATAATAATAATAATTTTTCAGGGATGAGTAAATCTTGGTTTTTCGACAAGGATTTCAGTGGGGTTCCGGATAATTTTTTCGAGGATACTTTGGGGTGCTTTGATTTCCCTTTGGAAGATGTAGAACCAAATGGTGATGATGGAGAAGACTGGGAGTCTAAATTCCGACATCTCGAGCCCCCGTCCTCTCATCTTTTAACCACTTTTTCAACCGCTCTCTGTGGTGAAGATGCCTCCTCCCTGGAACCCAACTATAACTCTTGTTCGGTTTTGGTGAGTTTTATTTATTATTTCATTCACACCCCGTATCTGTATTATGAAGTAGCTTCTGCTCTATCTTGTTTACTATCTTATCTCTGCAAAACGTACTGTATTTTTTACAGACTCCATCCGTACTCTTGCTATGATCCTTCCTTTTGTTGATGTCAATTACACACACATTGGGGGCCGGGGCTTGTTTTAATGACTGATATCTTGTTTGAAGTTGGACATCTGGGGATTTTCTTATCTCTTCTGTGTGCCATTGTTTTCGTTCGTGAGTGTGGGTATCCACCCGTCTGCTATGTGTTCTGAATTGAGGAACATGGTTTTGTTCCTTGATCTCTACATTGCTTCTGTAAACTTTGGTATAGGTTCTCTATCTGTTAACTAAATCATCTGGTCGATTCTCCTCTTGGTTTCCTTAGCATGTGTTGACTAACATTTTCTTTTTAGAATTCCAATGCACAAATAAGTGCAAATTGCTAATGTCTTTTCATGTATTCATATGGTTAGTCGAGAGCTTGTGTCATTGCTAATTTGCTAAAGCATTTGTTATATTTGCTCAGCAGCTGCTGCAAGTTACATTAGCATATTTCAAAGGTAGGTGTTCTTGTTATCCTGAGGCATACATACAATTTTGATGTAATTCGTGAACCAAAGAAACATTGCTGGATGGAACAACTTGAATAATCACATTGAAAAGGAACTCATGCTTGAAGTGCTCTGGCATGTTGGTTAATCTAGATGAGCATCAAGTGAAAAACTACAAGAAAATCAAGTTCTGTAGCAACTATATTAGTCAGCTGTTAAGTTATTTCTTGTCACAATATTAGCAACAGGTGGGATAATAAAGTGCCAAGGGCTCAAACTAGGTGTCTGGAAAAAGTTTGGTGGTATTATGGTATTAGAATTATTATTTTGAAAAGCGAATTTGATCACCTATCTCTTTGCACTATGCTCTTACTTAATTTGCCATTAGTTTTCTGCTCCATCTGCTAGGAAGTTAAGGTTTTCATTTTGGTCTTTCATGCCTTGCTTTCCTTTGTATCCTTTGTTGAGAAGGGAGTTTCACAGCTGCTCATTGAAAGAATGAATTAATAGTTCGGGAGAAAGTGCAAAATTTGTGAGCTTGTGTTGCATTTATCAAGTTTTCATTTATTGTATAAAATTAAATAGATGCTTTGTGTGAAGGAATATTAGCTAGTGAAGTATATGCTTTGTTTTTCCTAAAAGCTTTTTGTTAAAGTCTGATCATTAAATTTTTTTTAGCAAGAACCAAGAGGCAAGCAACAAACATTTATTCTAGGAAGAAATGGCATTGACTCTCAATTCTAAATGGCATTTTCATTCACATGCATGAGAGAAATGCGAGCACGGAGGAATAAAAATGATCATTGATCACCAGTAGCAAATGGCCTCTAAAGTGATCAGATGAAGCTTTGGGAGCACTAGGACTTGGCATTAACATGAGACATGCATGTCTGCATACAGTTGCCTAGAAATTAAAAATATTTGACTGGGTTCTTAAAAGCTCTTCCTTTTTATCATTTTTAACAATGAAGCAATGCACAAATTAGAGTATGCCCACTTGCCGTTGATGCTGCCGGAGAAGGTGCATGTCTTTTTATGTTGATCATTTCCTAGATGTTGGACTTGTTCTCCCTCTCATCACTACTATTTTATTCTTAATTGAATCTCTTGGGTCATTTGATTAAAATTTGTTGTAGATGTTGGACCATGCAGAAATAGTAATTTGAATCTTGTTGAAGCCCTTGTATTCAACTATTGTTTGGTCACTCCTGCTGGAATTAATCTCATAACTTGAACTGTTTCAGTATAGTTAAGTAATATCAACATCGCAGCATTAGGTTTTTGGATAACTTGTTCCATAGTGGCTTGCTTTTCATGTTTCCTCATTAAATTAAATATGTTTTTGTTAATTGGAAGAAACAATGTAGATGTCTTTAGTTTGTTTTTCCATGAAACAAGATAGAATGTCTTTTATCCGAGTATTCTCTAGATAAATGCAATGGAGATTTCTCTATCTTTTATCAACTGACCTTTTATATAATTCCCAGCTTGATGGATCTTTACAGTTAAAACATTGGGCAAGCTCTGCTGAAGCATCTTCAAGCAGAAGCAAACCCAACCTTTGTCGGTCTTCAGACAGCAAATATTCTCATCTGTTCCAGGCTACCAGCCCAGTTTCTGTCCTGGAAAGCAGTGGCAGTTCTTGTCCCACCGAAAATGCAACAACATGTTACCCCAAATTTGTCACACCAGTAAAGCGCCCTCGAAGCAAGCTGACACGCCCCCGGCGACATACATTCCCTTTCATCCCCACTGCCTGTGCCTCTAAAAAGTTTTATTGTTCGGCATCTTCAGATCCAGAATTAGAATACTATAATGATGAGGAAATATTGGATTCTTCCAGGAAAACACAGAAGAAAAGGAATCTGATGCTGCTATCTTCTGCAGTAGAGATGGCGCCGAAGAAGAAGCAGCCAGTTGAAACCAGGAGATGCACACATTGTCAGGTGACAAAGACTCCACAATGGAGAGAAGGACCACTGGGGCCAAAAACCCTTTGCAATGCTTGTGGGGTTCGGTACAGATCAGGCCGCCTCCTTCCAGAGTATCGACCAGCTGCCAGCCCTACCTTTGTTCCTTTTTTGCACTCCAACTCTCACAGGAAGGTGTTAGAGATGAGAAAGCAGACGGAGCAGGTGACCCCTATGGCAACAATGGATGTGTTAGTGCCTATGGCACCAGAACATTAGCTCTGTTGGCAATATTTGCCTGGTTATTACTAGGGAGCCTTGTAGTGGGGAGCTGTCTTGTTCTCAATTTTCTGCTTATTTCATGCTAGTTAATTTCTTCGTTTTGTTCATTGATGGAATAAGATCCAGGAACCCTATATGATCGGTTGTTTAGTAGCAGCGGAGGTAGAGAACATCCAAACGAGGCAGAGAACTACCAATGATTATGTGTTCTGCCTAAATGCCAATCACTCATCAGCAATGCTTAACACATGCATCTCCGTATGTGGACACACAGGTGGCTTTCGAATGGAATTATCAAGCTTAAAAGACACGAATGCATGGGCAGTGTTTGTTCTGATACTAGATGGTTTTTCTTGACCTTTAGCAAAAATTTGAAGCCGCAAGTTGAGCTGTTATTAGGGGAAATGGATGGCGGTTTCAAAGCAATTATGGCAGCTAGCTCATAAATACATCCAACCGTAGTTTGGTTTTGCCCCTGAATATTTCTCGTAAAAGGGTCGTGATGTCGGTACAGAAAGTACTGTTCTGAGGGGGGGGGGTATAGATACCTAAAAAGTAATTAATTTCTTTTGTTTCCTGGGTTACAGACGGGGCATAAAGCCGAAGAAACAAAACCCATCAGCTATTACTTGCTTAGAAGTAAAAATCCTTCTGTAGGCCTTCTTTTCAGACAACTTGGGAGGCTCGAGAAATACTTGGTTGCATGAATCATATTGTGACACCTTTGTATGCTGATATATCTGCGCAGCTTCTTTATTAATCGGAGAAATAACCACCTGCCAATTCTTATGCAGCAGGCCTCTAATTTGCTCCGGGAGCATGAAGTTTGAGCCTCCCTTCGCTCTCTCGTCAGTGATAAGCTCCTGGGAAAAAGATTAGAGTCCACTTCTAAAGAACATTTTGTGTCCAGTTGAACTTCTTTCTCCTTCAAGAAGGCAAGATCTACTCTCTGCGCTCGCATGACTGCCATCATAATGATCAACTACATGCCTTAGGGAATTCGTTTGGGCTCCAAGAGTGTCAGGTATGGTTTTGTTCAAAAATAAATAAAGAAAGAAAGAGACTGTCAGGTGGGCGGCGCTTTTAGCCGCAGGCTTGAACTGACACGGGATATTTAAGTATTCTTTTAACGTTAATAAAACTAATTAATTTTATTTATCAATTCATGTTAAATAATAAATTAGTTATTTATAAACTTGATCGCAATTAAGAAATAATTAGATTATTAACTTTATATTTATATAAATAAGAATATAATTAAGGGTGTCATAGCATGTTGTCTTATTATGTGCTATAATAATTGTTAAATGCCAAACATAATAATTATCCAATACAGTATGATGTGCACTAATTAGACAATACATTCTTTTGTCGTGCCTCGTTCATGATTAGGCTGCTTTATCTTCAGATTTTGGCATCGTTGCTGTCGACAATGATTCTGCTGAACTTAGCTTGCTTTATCCAACCGGACCAGTCTCCGACCTCTGGGGCATCAAGAATTTGAAATTTCCGTCAAGCTCTTTTAGTTTTTGTACCTTGTTATTTTACTGCGTGTTTGTGGAAGCTTGATGTTACTTGCTGCTGCTTAATTCTTGTTCTGTATAACACATGGTGTAATAGCTAACAAAACTTTATAACTAGCTTTAAGCAAAAACATTAACAACTTATTAAATTGAAAAAACCAAAAAAAAATATTAATTGAAAAAATCAAAATAAAAATAAAAAAAATCAAGTGAAAGAATTAAAAAATCTAAAAAAATATTTTGATTCAGTTCAATTTTAATTTTAAAATTTCAAAATTAATTAACTGAACAAAACCAAACTGATTCAATCAACATCTAACCCAATTATAAAAAGCTAACATGTATTAAAAAAAAAATTAAATTAAACTTTACAACCCCCTCCTTTCCCCTAAATTTTATTATCCTTTCTTATTATTTTTTTATTCTTGTTCTCTGATTTTCTCTTTATCTTCATTCAAAATCTAACACAGCCATACATAGTTAGAATCTCTCTCATCATCTAAATCACAACTCTCTTATTTTCTCTTTATCTTAAGCGATAAAAACCCTAATTTGTCCTCCATCAATAGTCCTCATTAAAATCCAATCTCTCTATCTTTGTTATCTAAAGTCATACCAATAACTCTCACTAAAACCTAGGAATACCCTAATCTTCCCAACAATAAACCAAACTTATTTCTCTTTACAATCATTTTTTATTTATTTTTTTCATGATTTTTTTTCTTTGTTAGTTTTTTACTTTTAACTTTTAAACCAATTATTTCAATTCAATATGATGTTATTAATTGTATAACTATGTGAATAACTCTGATGTATGTTTTAAATATTTAGATATTTTTTGCATATATATTTCTAGTGTTGCATGCGAATTTGTTTGAAATGTTACTTTTTTTTTCTTTTTCCGTTTCTTTTCTTCAAAAAGATACTTACTCAATAGTGAAATATTATGTCACAAGTTGAATTTGGCAGGGCTTGATTCTAATGGGAAGATACAACAATGGCAAAGTTTCAACAATCTTAATTAATTAATTGTTTATTAGATACAGTGTTGGTATATACCGTTTCAATAAATCCACATACAGAATTTTTATTCTCTTACTATTGACCATATCTGGTTAATTATTTTTAGTTTTATTTTTAAATATCCTAGACATTTCACATGTAGCCATTTCTAATTCTACCAACTGGAGTCTTAAAAGATTGTTGTGAATCCTTTAACAATAAATATTGCTTTATATTTGTCAATAGTTTCATTACCTTTCATCTTCCATTTAAAGATTCACCTATAACTTAATGATTTACTTTAAGGTGAAAGATCCACTATTTTACATATCTAATTATTCATAATAAATTTGATTTTATTATTGTTTATCTCCTTCTAAAAAAAAGTTTCAAGATATAATATTAATTTAAATTAATTTTGAGGTTTATTTTCTAACAATCATGTTAAAAAATTAGAACCAATTATGTTGGTCATTTTTTTATTTTTACTCCTCTCACCTTCATCATCTTACAATTGATTATGACTACTAACTTTGATTATTCTTTTAATTAAACAAATCTCTTATACTTTTTAAGTAACACGTGTTAAAAGAATGTAACATTTTCATATTTAATTATAGTATTAGGATGAATATCTGATATGTATTGTTATTATAAGCATATCCTATGAAAACACAATTCATAGTTTTAAGTCCTATCTTGATCTTTTTCGGTTTTAATACTATTATTTTTACAGGATAACCCCACACTTTATAGTATTTGTAGGAATATCATCTATATTTTTATAATTTATATGGTTTTTTTTTTTACTTTTATGGGGTATTTTTGAAGTATATAATTAGCGGTTAAAATTGCATCTCTCCACAAGTTTTAAGGTTTTCCTAAATTCATCAACATGACATTCATAATTTCTTTTAGTGTTAGGTTTTTATATTATGTAATGCTATTTTGTTGTAATGAATAAGACATGGTAATTTGGTGGATAATATTGTTTTAGAAATAGAATTCACTAAAAATTGTTTCATACTCTCTATATTTATCATTTTTTTATCTTTATTTTCATATTTAGTTGTTTTGTCAATATCATTCTTATAATGTTTAAACATTGCATGAGCCTCATCTTCTTCTTTTTTTTATAATGTTTAAACATTGCATGAGCCTCATTTTTTTTTGAAGCAAATAATTATAATATTACCTTGTACAGTCATCTATAAAAGTAATCTAGTACTTTACCTATTATTTGCACAAAATTTAAATCATCAATGTCCTAATGAATTTAATTTACAGGTTCGCTACTTCCCTCAATTGCTTAAAAAAAAAAGTTTTTGTAAATTTTAATTCTACACAAACTTCACACTTATGACTTTTTTAAAAACCATACTTAGTAATAAATCAAAATTAAGTAATCTCTATATAAAAATATAATTAACATATGTTAACTTGTCATGTCATGTATCACACGACTTAAAGCAAGAAAAAAAGATATTTTTATTATTATTCATCTCATCCTTGGTTATAATAATTATTACATTTATTTTAAAGAGGTTACTAGTAAGATACTCCTTTCCTATAAATATTTTATTTTAAAAAAATATAACCTTCTTACTCTTAAAGACCATCTTAAAACTATTTTTTCTTGATGTTGAGATAGAAACTAAGTCGTTCCTAACATCAAAAACATAAAACACATTGTTAACGGTGAGAAGTTTTTAATTACTCATCTTTAGTATAACCTTCCTAATGCCCAATACCTTGGAAGTTAATGAATTTCTCATATACAAGTGTTAACTATCCACTTCTTTGTAAGTGGAAAACATCATTATCTAGGCACATATATGTCTTGTGGCACCAATATTTATCCATCATTTCTTGGTATTTTTTATAAAGTTAACTTTAAAAACAACAATAAACAAATTAATTTTTAAAACTTTATTTATGAGGTGATAAATCTCGATGATAATGGCTTACATAGTCCTTTCTTTTTCTAGGGTTTCCTTGTTAAGCCTTATTTCTATCATTCTTGGCTTGGTATCAAGTCTTATTCTAGATGTAGTATTTGTTATTAAACTTCTCAATTCATTTTTCCTTTACATCAAGCTTTTTATTTTGGTTTCTATTATGAGATTTCATCACTTGTTCATTAATGTTTGCTTTCATAGTCATACTAGAAGAGTTGATTTTTCTTTCAGATAATTTATTGTCATTTTCTATTCATAACCTTAAAATAAGATCTTAAACTCTCATTTCTTTGTATTTATACTTAAAGTAGTTCTAAAAGGCTCTCCATATTAACTAAAAACTATATCTTCAGGATGAATATCATGCAACATGAGCTGAAAATCTTAAACTTATCTTATTATGGTCATTAAGTCACCATCTTGAAATCCATAAAATTTTCCACTCTACACTTTTTCATACCAACATATTTAGTCTTGTACTTTTGGTTCAAATCTTTCCATAGTGCCTTTTTTTATTGAACTATATATTTTATATATTATGTTATCCAATCCATTCAAGATGTTGTTTTTATATTATAAAATTGCTATAATTTTATTTGTCCATAGCTTCCATAATAGTGGGGTCATATTCATTATATGATAATTTTGAAACTTCTTCGGTTAAAAACTATATTAAATTTAAGGTGGTTATATAAAGAAATATCTTAATATTTCCACCTTTTAAAGTTTAATCCGTTGAACTTTTTAGATTGTTTAAAATATTCTATGAATCAAACTTTAAAAGGTGACAACATAAGATATTGTTTTCTTCATATTGAAGTGTTTTT